TGGAGTGGTGGATGCACTTCCCTGATGAGGGCGCAGGTGGCAAGTGCAACAAGGAGCTCCTTGGCTACAAGCTCCAAACACGCGTTTGCCCCAACAACCCCAACTGACAGTGATCTCGTGTGCACTCAAGGTCTGTTTGAACTAGTACATAGTATAAAAAATCCCAATCATGATTGAAAACATGAAAAATAAATGGCAACAGTAAAAATGATATAACGAGCTTGTATATAGTATAATACCATAATGATGTTTTTTAAGATAATGAAAGATAACAGCGATAAAAGATATTGAATAAGTAGCAGCCAAGATTCTGGAGCAAGTGGGTGCCGCGCAGAATCAAGCATAACGCTTCTGGGCTGCCATTAAGGAACTTAATTGATGTTATTACTATAGTAAGGGTATATGAGGGGGTAATTATTTACGGTTTGCAGGGTATGCAGGGATATACAGGGCTTAGCGTTAAGGAGTTTAATCTAAGTTACCGTTTTGGGAAACCATGTATACCCATTATGGTGACTTAATATGGGTGGTTGTCAAAAGTATGGTCCCTTTTTGGATCCCTATTATAGTACGGCACCTAATATTTAGGGTAGCCAAAAAGGGACCATAATTTTGACAGCCACCCAACTAGCTGCATAGCGTTCAGAGCTGAGGCCAGAAAGAGGTTATATTAGGAGAATGGAAAATAGAATGGAAGCTACTATAGTATATTGGGTTCTATACTGGGGTTATCTTAGGATAATGGAAAATAGAACGGAAACTATTATAGTATATTGGGTTGTATACTGAGTTATCTTGGGATAATGAAAAATAGAATGGAAGCTACTATAGTATATTGGTTTCTATACTGGGGTTATCTTGGGATAATGGAAACCCTCTAATATAGTGGTTTCCATTTTCTTTTCCATTATCCCCAACATCCCTATATAACCCCAATATTAAGCCTACATACATATACTACCCATATAAGCTACTGTCTAAACTCCTAGTATCCCCCTTAATAACCCCTATAGTAGTCCCCTATATTACCCCTATATAATCCCCCTTTAAGGAGTTTAGATTATGGCTCATATAAGTTTCTCAAAAGCAACCCAGGCTTTTGTCCTCTCCTTGTGGGCTTTCGTGTGGCTTCTCGGCACCTACCCTCTGGGACGTCCCCTGAGCGAGGCCTCCTCTTGCCGTGGTGTCAACCACCTAGGGGCTTAGGTCATGAAACCCTTACTGGGTTGGCCTTTGGGATACTTAAACATTTTGCCCTAATGGGTGTCATAAGGACCCTATATACTAATATTGTTCAAAGGGTTCTAAAGGCCAACCAAGCTTAAGCCCCTAAACCCTAAGCTACCTAGGGCTTATAAGGTTACTGCACTCAACCAAATAGCGAGCGAGGGATGGAGATTCATGTTCACCGTGTCCTTCTTCGCCCGCATCGGGTATTCGGCCGCCTGGATGTTCATCACCAACTTCACACACAGCAGCTAACTTGTCAATGATCAAGGCGTTGACTTCTGAGGGTCTAAAGTCTAGATGTTTGAAAAATTGAAACAGACAAATTCCACCTGAATCCCAAACCCCAAGCCCTAAGCCCCCTAAACCCCTACACCCCTAAACCCCCTAAACCCTAAGCCCAAGACACCAGCTTGGCTGCAAGTAAGGTCTTCCTTGGAACGAGTTCCTTGCACAGGACCCAGGCCGTACCTGGCCAGTGCTTCACAACGTGATGGCGATGCTTGCCTCTTAGGGGGTACACACACGTATATGTGGAGAAAATATTTAGGGGTTTAGGGCTTAGGGATTTAGGGGTTCAGGGATTTGGGGGTTTTAGGGTTTGAGGCTGCACTTTCGTATGTAAGTATATACGGATGTTTGGGAGGATACATGGGGATATGCGGAGATGCATAGGGATGTATAAGGACACATAGGCATCCACAGGGATGCATAGAGATTCATGCGGATGTGGGGATGTTCAGGGCTGTGTGGGGACATACTGTTGACGGATGAAATCTTGCACCACCTAGGGGCCTTAAAGTACTGTAATTCCTAAGACTTTAGGGACTTAAGGTGGTGCAAGATTTCCTCCATCAACAGTATGGGGGTATACAATAATTAGGTTGTATAGGGGTGTTATGCTTCTATACATTCTAGGCCTAAATAATTAGAATAGGGGACCATTCAATAGAAAGGACAACGGACATGAACGGGAACCTGGGTTGTATTGTAAAACAGGTTGAAAAATGTTGATTTTGATTGTGATGGTTTTGAGGTTGAACATTATGTTCAGCCCGAGAACTACAATAAGGTTACCAGCAAGAATGCTATCAATTTTCAGGCTCGTTCAGTACGGTTTAGGCTTTCCTCCTGCTACCCAAACGGTTCTAGAAGCGTGAAGACATACCACTATGAGGGCCAGAGGGACTAGGTAAGTAGATATCGGGGATAATTGGGGCTACTAATTTGGGTTATGAGGGTTATGAACCTACTTACTTACTAAGTCCCCCTGACCCTCCAAGCAGCTAATGACCTCCCCTCGATATTACGTCAAACTCCCCACCCTTACTGTTACATATGCCCACCCTTTCCCCATTGTATACGATCGCTGTAGGAAATATTTACATCATACTAGGGGTGGAGGGGTGTTGCTGTGTTGCTTGTAGTTGGACGGGACTAGCAGGGAAGGAAGGAGTGAGAACCACAATGAGCTCCGCCTAGTAATGGTAGTACTGATAGTACAAAAATTCATTGGAAAGGTTGTAATTTCCATATCCAAGGATGGTTCTGGGTGGAAAGCACCGCTGGAACGAGATGCTCTTCCACGACGTGCCATGGCCTTTTGTACTTCTGCCAGGCTTTGTTTCCATGAACTTACCTGGCGAAGTTGGAGTTGGAATGACGGTTGGCGAGTCCTTGGCTGCTTCCATAGATGCTGCAGTTGAGGTGTGGCGCCTTAGTGTCTGTGTGCGCCTGCAGTCTTATAAAATTCTTTGTTTCACGGATGGCCAGCGAGCTTTCGTGTTCATTGCTGTGGTTTGCTATGGTGGGTCGGTGAGCAGCAGCTGCGACAGCTTATCTCCCGGGTCCGGTAATGTTGTGTGCAAGATGCGTACAGCGGTTGCCGCGCGCAACTCTTCTCAAAGGTTGTCGCTCTGTCTCGCATGTGCGTGGCTCCAGTGGCAATGTTCACGATAGGGGTTCAGATCTACCTGAGCGTCGGTCCAGTTGGTTGCAAGAGCTTTTGAGGAAAAAAGCAGCCAGGCACAAGTGGTCCAATAAGTTCCACGACCACATCTCTGCTTGTAGATTGATCAAAGCCACCTGTGTCAGGCTTGGATGCTTGCTCTGAGGGGGATGCTTGCTTTCATGACTCTTTGTGAGAGGCAGGATCCGTTGCCATGAGGGGCAAGCTAGAGAGCGGGGGCGAGTGTGAGCTCTTTGCGAGTGGTCCTAGGAAGTGTTACCTAGAATGATCTAGGTAACCTCAGGACCCTCAAGTACCCTCCTTCTGCCTGTTCCCTTGCCTGGACTCTTCTTCTGAGCCCATTGTGCGTCGAGTGAGCTCTTTGTGAAGGGGTCCTCGGACGCGTTACCTGGAATCTTCTTAAGCAACCCCTCGTGGAACCTCATCACACAAAGCCCAAACGACATACTGCCGGCTAAAAGGCAGGGAGGGCACCCTCTTGTGTCGTTGGAAGTCTTGGTGGGGGTTAAGAGGTTCGCTAAAGCAGCGAAGGAACCAACTAACCTCTCCTCGGACCGAGCAATAAGAGAGGGGACGGCCCCTGAGATTTGTATCCTTGTGTCAGGCAAAAAGAACAGCGCTCATCTCTGTTCATTGTATGTCCTCATGAGTCTTGCGCAAGGTGTTCATGTTCATGACGCAGCTTGCACAGGGACAGTGAGAGAGAAGGTTGGAAAGAGTTTCAGCAAGACAGGGTGATTGACCACCCATGACCATGCGGATCCAAAACGGCGCCTGGACTTATTTCTGACCACCCCACCCCGAAAGTTGCAGCAGTCCAGCCGCCCAAAATGTCCCTTTCCCCTCTTCCCCCGCCCTGCTGCTTCACCTGTGCCAGGCTGTACTCGTAGCAGCTATTCGAGGTGAGGTTCTTGGTGCTGTCAAGGGTTTTCCGCGGTGCCGGCTGAAGCTGCGAAGGCCAGGCTCGAGACGGTGCGGGGTAGGGCCTGTTGTCCTGGCTTCCTGCGTCGCGGAGGATGTTCTCATCACGGGTCGGCCTCCTCAGTTGGCGAAGTCTTGCACTACTGGTCCTATCGACGGGCCAGCCGCGACCTCCAGCGAGCCCTGCCCTGCCCCAGCCCGCTTTGCCGATCTAAAGTGTTTTGCTATCAACCGTGTGTTGGCTGCTCTTCTGTCATTGGACTCGTCACGGCATCTCGCATCAGATGCCGGTTCGCAGCCAGGCGGCGCCTCTTTCCGCGCTTTTGAGTCCCGTGAAGGTATTGGGCGTGGTGTCATTATTCGCACGTGTTCTTGGACAGATTGCGGAAATCGCAAACAACCTTGGCAGTGACCGGCCGCGGTGATGTGCGGAGGTGTGTAAAGCGATGCTTCTGGGAAGGCCAAGCGGCTGTCCCTAACTTGTGTTGGGATTTTGGAAACGCTTGTGTTCCCAACTTGGAGCACGTCCTGTGGTTTTGGGTCACACCCGTGTGCGGAGGTTTCATTGCCCGCAGAGCGAGCTGTCAAGCAGACTAGGATCGGATGGGGTGCCTGCCTGGCCATGGACGCTCGTGTCAGTGGGGTTGTTCAGCATAGGCTTGATGAGTGGCAAGCTCGAGGTCAGAGAGGTGGCTGGCGCAGACTGGCCACAGCTCCCGCTGCTGCCTAGGTAGGTTAGTCCCTTGGTTGGGTTCCCTTTGCCTTCCCCTGCCATGCTGTTCAAGCCGTGTCTTGTTGCAGCAGTACAGCCGCCTAAAAGCTCGCATGTGCGACGCCGTTAGGGATAGGCTTGTAGTGATGGGCAAGATCCGTCATCGTGAGTGGCGAGCGAGAGGTCAGAGAGATGGCTGGCGCAGACTGGCCGCAGCTCCCGCTGCTGCTTCGGTAGGTTAGTCCCGATTGGTTTCCCTTTCTCCCCTTTGCTGTTTAACCCGTGTCAGGTTGCAGCAGCGTAACCGCGTAACCAAGGTGCACCATGCTTTTCCAAACGCCGTTGGCACTCTGAGCCAGCGTGGCCGCTTCCACGGTTGGGAGAAGGTCCACGACGCGGCAGCAGAGGTGCTTCACCGTGGTCTGTGGAAGCCAAATGGTGATGAGGAAAGGGCTTCAGGGTCGCAATCCAAACGGGCAAACATGCACGGTGACTTCAGCAGAATGTTGTCTTATTGCATGTTTTATTTTTTCTTACGGCTGATGTAGGAAACCCAGATGCAGAAGACCCAGCGCAAACGTTCCTTGATGATGAAGCAGGGCAAGTGAGCAGACGCACAGGTAGTCACGTTTCTGTCTGAAAGCCGTGAAGTTGTCTTTGCGCCAGGCAAAGCGTTCGAGGTGCAAGGGCAAAAATGTATTGATGATGATTGACCCCACTGTGGTTCTCGAAACCTTATGAAATCATTCCCCATCATTGCCTTTGCAGTGAGCCCTACGTAGCTTGCATCCAGCTTTTGGCCTTGGATCTGACAAGTCAGCTCCGCGGATAGACTATTCCGGCCATAGACCGAACAAACACCAGAAAAAAAAGGCTGAGCATTTGTAAGCGTTGCCACCAGCTTGCCAACCAACTCGTATGTTTGTCTGAACAGTTTGAAGATTGTAAGTATGCTTGAAGCATTGGACCAAGTATGACAATCTAACATACAAAAGAGGCAGGTGACAAAACTCCAAATAAGGGGTCAAGTATTCAAAATACAGTATATTCTTTTTGTGAGGGTCTGCCATCACCAGCGTCGTTCCTATCATATGGCTGGATAATGTTGAATGCTATTGTTCTGGTAGCTGTTTGTTTGGGCATGGGCGTGTGCCGCATGCCAGAACAAACAGCGACCTGCGCCGCCATGCAGACCGGAATGGGTTACACCACGTGTAACGACTGTCGGATTCAGAGGTTCCGGAGCATTCGAAAAATGGGTTTTCATGTCCAAACTGGTATTACTTCATGGGGTTACAGCAGGAAACCCAGCCTTCTGTTTCAAAAGGCCCCCATGTATCTGGAAGGCTCAAAGCAGATTGCTGCTCCATTGCGTCTGTCAAAACCCTGCTCTCTTCACAGGATCGCGGCATCCGAATGCCACGCGTGTTAAAACCTTTATCTATCCTCATGGTACCTCGTGATGCGTATCCAAAACGGTTGCCAGCTAGCTACTTTTCAGCCCCTCCAAGACTAAGTGTGGTCTACTTCGGAAAGGTGTCAAGGACAGCTGCGCGAGGAGGCCTGGAATCCTTGGCATGTACGGGTTTAGGGTTTAGGGTTTAGGGTTTCGTATGTCAATGATCAGGGTTTTGGTTCTTCTTCAGGGGGGTCCCGTAAACCAAGTTGTTGCATGCAGCAACCCTAGACGCCCCACCTGGCAAATGTGCTTTGAATGGAAATACTCTGGGTCTTCTAGTCCCCTTAAGTAGATAGAATATGGCTTTGGGTATATTCTAATAAGGTCCCCATATACCCCATATTTTATCCACTTAAGGGGGACGATAAATACAGCAAGGCCGTATCATCCTTTTGGCTCCGTGTGCTGTATGTCGGGTAGACGGACAGAGATTGTGCTTTCGGAAAGCCCATGGTAGCCCATGGCTCTACAGTTGGGGGCTTTAAGAAGAATGTGATTTTGTCTGGTTCACACACCACAAGACCGCTTCTAGAAACTAAGCCCAGACCCCTAGCCACTATACATCCCAGTAACCCCGGTACAGGAGTCCACTAGCCGACATGGAGTGTAGAAGGCTGAAGAACTACCAGCAATGTGCCCTTAGAATCTACATAGAACTATAGTAGAACCCCTATTTTAAACCAGTATAATAAAAGGGCTTTGGAAAGCCCATCCTCAAACTCAGGATCCTACAGGTATCATGTGACTACGAGAAGGTAGAGGCACTTAGGGTGAGAATAGAATGGACAGTTTAGTGCAGGCAGCACTCCTGAAACAGATCATGGAGGAATGGTCCACGCTGAAGCATGGACCTTGTGGGAGGTTTGGGTGGTTTCTGACAGGGCATTTTCAGGAAACATTAGCGGGTTTTGAAGGAGGTGTAGGGTTTAGGGTTACGTTTAGGGGGGTTTTCAGTGACCCTAGGAAACTTTAGGAGCATTGCAAATGTATGTAGATATATATATATATATGTATATACACATACATTTGTGCCGGGGTGTCCCTCACGGGATTCTACAGATGTACTTATGTGAAGCTGTCAGTTTGCTTCGAGGGGTTGGGAGTTGCAGCTGGCCCGTGAAACACAGCAGAATTCAAAGACCCAAACGGCGCTTACGAGCTGCCCCTCGTAGAAGGGCCCTTGAGAGGTACGTGTAAGGGCTTGGTGTCTCACCATTGAACCTTAAACCGAAGACCCTAATCGAGGAATGACCAACACGCCCTGCACTTATTAGTTTTCCAGGTTCTTGGGCTTAAGCGCCATTGATGTGCTACCTTCGGAAACTCCGCAATAATCCTTGATGCTAAACCGCCACACCCCTGAACCCTAAATCCAGTGACCCTCAAACTCTACTAAACCCTAAACCCTAAACTCTAAAACCCTAAACCCTAAACCCCTAAACCCTAAACCCTTTCTACCGCAAAGGCCTTTCGGTGCGGGGGCAGCCAGGAGCTCAGCAAGGCTTTCTTGCAGATTTTAGCTGCAACACTACTGTTTTGCTGCTACCACTATGGGCTATTAGACCTTAAGGGTACCTTAATCTACCCCTAATAGGGTCCTAATGGGGAATTTTAGGGTCTAATAGCTCATAGTGGTAAGGAACTTAAATTAAGTTACCAGAATGGGTATGATAGCTTGAACTAAAGTTCCTTAACAGCAACCCTGTTTGTGCGGCAGTCTTGCAATTGGGGCCTGATGATTATGCGGCTGCCGTGCTAGCCTTTAGAACGAAAGTGCACTTTATCCCACGTTCCTTCTCACAAACAGAGAGGTATCCCTCTACTTCCAAGGCTTCAAAGACAGAAAAAGGTAGTACTACAATTGAAATTATTTATTATGATTACTATTATGAGTAGCACTTGTATTTCGATTACTATTAAGCATGAATGGTGCCATCTCCATGTCCCTAGCTGCAATCGCAGCCCGGAAATGAGGCGGGGCCCAACGGCGGAGGCATCAGAATTTGGGCTTTAGGGGTTTAGGAGCTTTGCCGAAGTCTTGCTGTACTTTTAGCTTTAATCGCGCTGAGTTTGCAGAGCTGCAACAGGGTAGCTTGTAAGCAGCATTGGTTCCTTTTGTGTATGTAATTCCTAAACTATAACCCCAATATATTCCCTATTGTACTACAGTAGTTTCCATTTTGTTTTCCATTATCCCTATAGAACCCTATATATATATACACCCTATAATCATATAATCCCTATACACTCCGCTCATATTGGGGGTGGGGGCCCGTATGTTTGGAAGACGCCATGGGACTTTCTCAAGAAATTCCTACGCAATCGTTGAGAAGCACTCCTTCGAATCCTTCATGGGTCCTTGGTGTTCTTGAGATCCAACGAGGCAGTTCCACATTGCCTTTAGAGAAATAGTGGAATATTGGAAATGTACCCTGAGCCCTGTGGGTCCCGTTGCCCAGAGCCCCGGCCACTGCCCATGCTCATGACACCAGCTAATGTTGCGGGAGCTTCTCGACTTGCTCCCTTCAAGGATGTCCACGGAAACTTTGGCATTACACTGTGAAACAAGTTGTCAGACATCACTTGGATACTACTGTTCAGGGAAGGGGTGAACAGCTAGATTCGTTTACATGCTTTCTTCTCTTGATAGCCGCCGTAGTCTCAAAGCCCTGGATCGGTCCCTCGAGAGATTTCCGTGGCACCAGGGACTTATTGACCTGCGGCATATTTCTTTTGCCAACAGTGTACCCACATTTAGACTCGCCATGTTTGGTGTGATTTCTCAAAAATGAAAGCTAATCTGTGGGTGCTAGAGTCTGGAGTAGTGAGTCTTACTGCATCCTAGCAGGGAATACAGTAAGGGAACATATTATGCAAGGATTATATGGGGATGTTATTCCCTTATTCTTTACTAAGAACAAGGAAGGGGTCGTGCTCTATGTGTGTGCAGCGTCGGCAGGCAAGGTCAACATGTTGGACGACTTCGCTAGTGCGAGGCTTACCTGGCAACCTCACCTCAATCCCAAGGATTTACACGAAAAGGCACTTGTTTCTTGTTAGGGTCAGATTTCAAAAGGGTTGGGCTTATCTTGCCCTTTGCATCGCCTTTTGCGCAGGCATGCGTTGGAATGACTTCCTCACAGGGCATCATTCTTAGACTCTTTTGAACTGGAAGCCCTATAAAACACGACTCTAGCCCAAGCCTTCGAAATCGTGAGTTCTACTTTCCGATGGCTAGTAGCTTGGGCCGCTTTTGCGTTTCTCGAACAACATGGGTCGCAAGTCAAAAGAAGGTCCCACCCATCATTGAGAGGATTTTCACAACGTCTTCTGCGGCTAACCAGCCCCAATTGTGGGCCAATCTCTTGCAGAAACACCCAAGTCGTTGATAAAACCCCTTTAAACCCTAAACCCTTAGAATCCCATGAACCCAAGCCGTGTATATAAACAGCACTATCCCCTAGACCCTGAAGCTAATCCCGAGTTCTTGAGGCATGGCCAATGCGCCTGCACCTCGACCGGTCCACCGGGCGGAGGAGGAGGCATTTAGGGTTGAGGGGTTTTGGGGTTTAAGGGTTGGGTTGAGGGATTTTGGGATTAGGGTTGAGGGGTTTTGGGCATTTAATTTGGGGGGCTTGGTATAAGGGTGTAGGGGTTCGGGGTGTATGGGGGGTTAAGGGTATCAAGCTTGGGCCTCAGGGGTTGGGTGAGAGTGTTTTGGAGTCGCAGGACCCTCTCCAGGTAGACAAATAGGGAAGGGTGGACGACCTCCTCGAAATTTTGGGTGCACGCCGAAACCCTGAAACTCTAAGCCCGAACCCCAAGTCCTAAGGGCTGAGGAGGGCTTGATAAAGCTTGGGCTGGGGGGTTTAGGGTTTAGGGTTTAGGGGCTGGGTTCAGGGTTTAGGGTTTAGGTGCTGCATTTGGACATATAAGAACTTTCGACAACTGCAGGAAGGACTATTATTCTGCAGGGGGTGATTTCCAGCAACACCTGAAGCGCCTACGAAGTCTGAAAAGCAGCCTCCTTAAAAGTAAGCGTTCCAACAATGAGGTTTCGCGTCAGGCTTGCTTGTGTTCCTCGATTTGGGTTCCCGAAGAACAGCCAAAAAGTCTATGATCAATACGGTTACTGTTACTGTCATTTCC